ATGTAAAAAGTTCAAGACAATAAAACCATTGCAGGCATATGTTATTCATGCAAATTAGACTAACATACCTTTAAGTTATAAATACATCACCCTAAAGTACTTGAAGTTCCGAATCCTCAACTCTATTTAATACACATATTACAGTATCTGTTACACCTTTAAGATTGCAAAAGGAAAGGTTATTCATCATCAATTAAATTAGACATGTGGAACATACTTGCTGCTCAAATCCACCATGTTCAGATTTTTCTGCAAATCTAGGAAAAGCCATATGTAATACTTGAAGCAGGATTATTGGAGGAATGGTAGCTGTTTTGTCCATAGACTCATACAGGTCTCTCAAAGCTAAATGAGATGTTACCATTATTAAACAACTTCAAATTACAAGCAAAAATAAAAATCATTAGATTACTAGTTATGTATTTCATTAACATCAGAGTTCCTTCATAAAACATTAGATTTAAAGAAGGTTGTACCAAAGATATTTCACGTTGAACTTGGCAGCAAATTGTGCATGAACTTCAGTTGAAAAATGTTTATAATTATCTTCTTTAAACCTTTACTCTATAAATATGTTCATTACAACCAAAATTAATACCTACAACTTTTCAAGTAACTTAATCATCACAAAATATAATAAAATTACTTTGTTCTCAATTTATAAAAACGTGTCTTTTTAATGTCAATATTTTTCTTATAGCAAATTTCTTATATTCACATAATTTACATATTTTAGTAATTCTTTCCCCATCATATCAGTTACAATTAAATCCAAGTTACTTGGGCCCCCTGTTGGTTTTTTTCAACACATTTTTCTAAACTATCTATGCACCAAACTACTTGTAGGTCTATAACTTTCTTGGTCACAAGGTCCCTAATAACATACGAGCCACACCCATACACACAAATTAAACACAAGTATCATCAATATTACAATTAATCCCACTATGTATTTAACATAAAAACAACAACCTTTCATTCTGCAAATTACTCCCCCCCCAAAAAAAAGTCATAAATAGTTATTCAGCTTTGAACTAATTTTTTACCCTAAAATATAGAAAAGAAATTAATAAAAAAAAAACCTTTATCTATGAATATCATCATAAAAAACGTTTAGTTTTGTATTGAAAAAATTAGAAATAGAAATTTGTTATACTTATGGTAACAAACATAAAACTTAAAAACAATATTTCAAAATTATCCACAGCTTTAGCAAAGGTCTTGAAATGTTTAATTGATTAAAAAAAAGTTTTTTAAATGGTACTTACTGCTTTTAAGAAACAATTTTGACATTTTATAATTTTACATTATAATAAAAAAACTCCAAATCAGGAACTTTATGCAATGATATAAATCATTTCTTTGCAAACCTTATAAATAAGAAATACCATTTAAATTTGAATATCAAAATTACATACGAAAATTATTATAGAAAAGCACATTTTGATTCTAATTTCCGAGTTATTTCCAACATACCTGCAGTAATTGATTGAGAAGGTACCATTGAACCTGCTAAAGTGATCCCACCCTGAAAGCTAAACATAAAAAAATAACAAAAAAAGACTTAAGTTCTGCTGGCTATATCGTTATTTCTTAAATTATATGATCTAAAAAGGGATAAAAAACATCCTTAAAGATCATGTGAACTGATTAGTATTTCATTGTTTCATTATCCACATATAATGGGTTAATACTGCTTACAAAAAATATCATTAAGAGGTTGAAGCACTCTGAATATTTACTGCTAAGAGTGTCATTAATAAGTAGCTCATAATGTGTATTTTTAACAACAGTTTGACTGTTGAATTTTGTGAAAAGCTAAATAAAGGCTATCTGCATTAGCCATTCCTAATTTTGAAATGACAGACTAGATATAAGGCAGCTAGTCAACATTACATACTTCCAACTCTTGGATAGTTCTTATCAGTCCAAATGAATGGATTTAACTGTCACCCTTACCACACACCTACAGCCTTAAAGTGCAGAGTTCATTTGTTGTATTTTTGATGACAACAGAACATGAACCACAGAACCTCATCTCTACAACTGGGCTATGTTCAGCCCATTTAACAAGAGAAACTGGCATTAAATGTACAATGATTTTTGCCCCCTCCTTAACTCTCTTGACATGGGCTCGGTCAATTTGACCAACCACGTTTACTCATTTAAAGTTTTTTTTTATACTTCTAACTATCAATATAGTGTGTATATCTTCATAAAATGTGGCAGTCTTTCAGTTAATATTATAAGTCTTTCACACACAAAAAATCTTATTTTTTAGTGAAGTACTTTTAATAACCTAAAATAAAGATTTGTCCATGAATATATTGAGTATTTGTTTTGAACAGTCCATGTGCAAAGTCTTTTTCACATTGAAAAGATTAAAATACTTTTCTTCATCTCAAAAATCTCAAATTTCATTTGTGTACTCTCTAAAACATCCTAAATACATTTCAAATGTTTGTTTTTACTAAAACTTTACATATTTTATCTGTTATTTTCTTTACCCTAACTCTATACAAGGTTGGTCAATTCGACTGACTTCGTAAACCCCCCAAAAAACAAAAAAAAATCTAAATTACCCTCTTTTTCTTTCTAGAATGACTTCAAATGTAGCATAAAACTACATTTGTTTATCCTAAGTAGCTTTAAACTCATAATAGCATACATCTATTTATAATTAAATTTTACTGTTTTATTACCCTTTGAACCAGTGTATAACTACTATCCCCAACATTACGAGTTGTAAATCACTCGGAGAATGTGCAGCTCGTGTGCATACCTTGTGAAACATTTTTATTATATTATTATTGTGATTTATTTTACCTATCCTAATCTTAACTAACCTAAAAAGATCACTATTTTTTCATTTTAGTTACTTTTATAATAATAAATAATCAATAAACATAAAAAATGAGAAATAAAGTACTTTCCAAATCTTCTTTTTTCTTACTGTCAATTGTCGATGACAGTTAACCATACTTTTTTTTATACTAATGGTAGTATTGCACTAAATATCTTTTATTTAATTAAATAATGCAACAAAGAACATAGAATAATAACATGCAAAAAGCAGACAGTTTCCTCTAACTATCACAATTTTTCTGGCTTTCTAAATATGCGACAACAGCTGTTAAAATTCACCTAAGCTCATCGATGCGTTTCCTGTGAAAATAAAGTTTGTACTAAGTGAAATAGACAATTCTTTGTACAAAATACAATGTAATACAATATGTCATTTGACAGATGAAAACCTTGGCTTTCTATTGGTTAAATTTAATATAGTATTAAGTATCAAAGAGAACTATTGGCAATTTGTAAAAGAGAGGATGTGTCAGGTAGGCGTGGCAAGAGGGGTCTGATTTTCTAGTTTATGGCTCTCTAACCAAGTAAGATTGAAGGCTATAACAATTATGCTTTGCCTGAGCAATGACAACATTCTAATAAGTAATTTACATTACATTTCATACTTCTTGGAGGGGTGGTAAATAAATTAGAGAAGAGGGGATACCTAGAGAGCAAATGTTATAAATCTCATACTAGGGGAAATTAAAGATTTTTTAAATATTGCCTTATAAAATTAAGACCTTAAAACTTATACGATATTAAAATTTGGAATATTAGCTGATGTTTTGATGCCAAGTTTATTTGTATACCATAGTAGTAAAGTAGTTTAATTACATTTTGAATATAGCTCACTAGAATCTTGTGACATGTGCAGAAAAGATACCCATAGCAAAAGTTTTAAGCTGAGTCATTGTAGTTTGATCAGTGCAATTTTATTTAACTGTAATTTAATTATGAAATTTTATTTTAGAGAATGTTAATAAATAGATATATCTTTTACTTTTGTAAGCTTTAAGTTGTATTGATGGAAACCTTTGACATGTACAACACTTGCAACCATTACAGAGTATAAGTTAATAACATAAATACATTCAAAAGTATCACCTAGTAACAAGTATCAACAACTGGAGTGACATCTAGTCAAGTTATGAATTTTATTAATAATAATAATGTTTACATATGTATATGTGTATTTATGTGCAGAAATATATGCAAATACAGTTTACATACATAAACATTCTATATACACATTTGCATAATTCTAAGTTCAACATTATTAATTACATTCAATTGGTATATTAAGACAAATAAGGTTCATAGTTCAACAAAACTTTAGAATACATATTAAATGTAGCATAAATAATTCAAACTCTAATAATGTTTTTGTTCCCTTTCATGAAAGAGAAACAAACAGCGTTTAATGGGGTCTGCCATATTATTAGCTTTTATGATGATAGCCTCTGATTTTCCTTCTTTTAAGACAATTGCTTTGTTTGTTATTATACTTTCACTCCAAAGTTTTCTACTCACTTTCTTAAGACATCTCTCAGTTCAGGGACAGTACGTAAACATTGTACTGTTGCATTCATGTAACATGTGTTTCCTAGATTTGTTAGTCCAGCCGGAAGATCCAACTACAGTGAAAAACAAACAATTGGAACCACAGTGGTGCAAAAATTATGCTACAAACACATATAAAAATTATGAAAAAACATCATCGTATAATGCTTATACAATCTTCTTGGTGACATTTTAACCTGTATTTAATTATTTTTTTGCTAAAATGGGACAAAACTGATAAGTAGGACAATAAAAAATGTCTGTAGAAAACTTTTCCTACAATTGCATAATTATTAAGAAGTTAAATATCTACAAATCATTAACAAATCAATCTCTTTTTGTGTGTATTATGGGGAATGTGCAGCCTATTTTGTTAGAATAATTTATTAAGAAAATGCAATCAAATTGTAAAGTCATTTCAATTATCTAACTTAAATGCTGTTTGAATAGTGGCAACGTACTTGACACCTGAAATGAGTTACAGAAATTATAATAATCAATTTAGTTCTTTTTTAAGTGTTGTTTCCAATAAAAAAATTTATAAAAAGTGAATAAGTTGTTGCACTTTATTTAACTTTTATTAAAACATAAAATAATGTGTCCATATGTGAAAACTGAAAGGTAAAATATCTAAATTTAGTAGGTACTGTTTGTGAAAAAACAAACACAAATAAAAGAGCTCAAGTAATATACAAGACCCGAATATAATATTTGTAAGTAAACCTAATCAATAAATGAGTATTTTTTTATTTCTAACTAGGATTTCATGTTTATATATGTACATAAGAAAGATTTTAATTTTGTTTCATAAATGTATTTTTATTTCAAGTTTGTGTTTAATTGCAGCCATACTTTTGTTTATTGTGCCAAAAAACTATGAGGTTAGTGAACTTCGTACATTTGGCGTAAACTATCACGCCTATTGTGGTCATTCTCATTCAGTCCAGCGCAGGCACATTTGAACATTACTGTAGATACGATAGTAAGAAAGCTTTTCGGTACTT